CCGAGCCCAGAATGGTCTGGCCTGACCAGCAGTAGCTCTCTGGTGGCTTTCCCATCACCTGCTGCCTGGTTCATTTTTAGAGCAGAACAGGTGCTTCTAAAACAAAGCGTACCAGGCAGGCGCTCCTCCACTGAGTCACCGCCCCTTCCAAGAGGCACCGGGAAATGAGCAAGTAAGAGGCCTCGGCATATGAGTCTGCGTGCAACATAAGCAGGCGCATGGCTGTACCCCCAACTCCAGGTAAGAGCACACTTTGGCTACAGGGCAGTATAGCAATGAAACGAAAGCCCCAAGCTTGGCTGAGGAGGCAAGTGTCTCAGCCACTGGGCCTCCGGTATGTGCAATGTGAGGCCGGTGGGCAGTCTCACGACTGACCTCGGTTTCTTGACTGCGGCAGAGCTGGGAAGGTGCCCCCTGAGCAGGATTTCCCAGCCGAGGCCAGAAGAGAATGCTGTCACTCGGGTTCGATGAGTCGCCAGCTCCTGACCCATAACAACCCCACAGAAGCTAGCAGAGAAGGAAACGGGCCCGTGCCCTTGCTTGTCTCAGAGTGTCTGCATCAAAAGAAGCTGCTGCAGCTTGCCTGCTCCTCTGGCATGGAGGAACCTTTGAGTCCAAGCACCGGCAGGCTCACGGGGCAGCGGGAGATGCTCCCACGTCGAGCTTCCAACTCCAGTGGGCCATGGTTTGGAGCTGCGCCTTGTGTCAATGCTTGTGCAAGAACAGGGGAAATAAATAAGCTGCAACGAGAGAGTATTCCACACATGCTCTCGGTTGTGCTGCTGCTAACTGTGGAATGAGATGTTGAACAGAAATGGGTTTGTTGCTTTCCCTGTATATAGCATCACCCTACGAATGTTATGGTCCTTCCACCTCCTGTGCAAACTGAGGACGTGTTTCTGGTCTTCCAGTAGGGTTGGTGGAGGGAGAGAGAATACACCTTCATTTCCATGGAAAGCTTTGAAATTAGGGGAGACTTTATGCTCGGAGGTGGAATAATTGCAATGATTCCTGCATCATGAAAGAACAGGTATCTATAGAACAATTTGCCCAGTTCTGCACTTTGGTCCCACTTTTACCACATATTCTAGCCCAGACCCCGAGGTTATTAGTGGAGGTTTTTCCCCTGGGCGCTGCCAGGAGAGAAGGCCTCGTAGCTCGTGGGCTATGGATTGCCTTTCCCAGAGTTAGCACACAGAATGAGTGCAAAGCAGAGTGGTGCCTTCAGCAGCTTGCACCCGGGTCTGAGGCTCTGATCCAACCTGCAAGAGGGACCATTTCCACCCCGAGATCAAGCAAGCCATGGGGGGGGGTCTAATGAACATCTCACAACCAGATTGCTAACTGGGTAAGGAGGATTTGATTGCAACCCGGTCTTCTTCAAAACTTGAAGCAACTTGGCAGGAAAAAGAAAAGCACATTTAAAACAAGAGCTCACATTTCCATTCTAGAGTGTTAATCTCAGTACGAGGCGCGCTGATTTAGCATGCAAGGAACCTGCCCATTACAATGTCCACCAGGGCAGAATCGGGACAAGATTGTTCAGGGGTGGGTTAAAGCAGAACGGGGAGCAACGCAGTATCCAGTGCGAAAGCGTGCGGAGAAATCGGACCCTTGTCCTCCGCAGACCTCGGCCATTCTCCTCACTCCAAGCCTTTCAGGAGCACTTTGCTTTCGGCGCGGGGCTTGCTTTCTGACTTCACAGCACCACCTAATGGGCAGAGCAGGCTCGGGACAAGGAAGGTGGCACAGGAATGGGAGCGGAGAGGAGCCCAGGTTTTCGGCACAAACAGCCACTGACGTGCCAGGCTGGGGTAGTTCAAAGGCATGGGGAACATGCAGAGTATTTGCATAATCTTTGCTAAAGGGCCCTTATTCGCAAGAGGTTAAGCCCAAAAGATTGACCTTCTCCTCCATTGCTGCTTTGCATAGGGGTATTAATCCCAAAGCTCAAATCAGCCTTCAGTGGGAATAATTAAGTGGTTGCCTCAAAAAATCCTTCCTTCCCAACTTCTTTTTCCCATCCTTATTAGTGACATGAAGGGAAAGTCAAACCGGAATGGCTGCAGGGGTTACTATATTGCCCTGCCCACCGAATGTTCTAGAAAAACATACAGATACACACAGAGACACTGAGAGGACAGGGAACCTGTCAGATGTACCATTTGCCTCCACTTTGATGCTCAGGCCAGATACTGATGCAGCCCTGCCAGTTATGGGAGGGCAGGTATGCAAAATTCAGCAGCTCAGAAATCCAGCTATGCCTGCAATCTGAGTGCACCGCACGCTGATCTTGCATTCACCAATGGTTCACTCTTCCCCTTGCTCCCCACCTCAGAGACCCCTCTACACCAGACTTCAGATGTTTTAGACTGCAGCTCCCAGCATTCCAGATGCTGGGCATGCTAGTTGGCACTGATGGGAGTTGGAGTTCAAAAAAGCCGGAAGGCACCAGCTTGGAGAAAGCTGCTCTGCTTAAACCAGACATGTGAGAACGAAACAGAGCTTTACCCATTTCAGTCATCCTACTTAGTATCTTTCAGCCAAAGTTTTATAGTACTTTACACACCAGTTGCTGAGGATCTCAGGCAGGCAGAAGTCTTACCCCCATCCTGGTCAAGTGATCCCGTGAGCACACCGTTGCTACCATGGGTACAGAATGCGGGACTAGCTGGACCGTTGGTTTGATCCAGCATGGCTTTTCTACGTTTCTATGCTCCTTTTCTAAAGTAAATGTTTGGTCCAGCATTTAAGAGCAATTCCCATAAGTGTTCCCCTAAGTGCCTGTTTTTCCAGGAACAGCTGATTCTTGCTGCAGCAACAATGGGTCCTTGCCCACGTGCAGTTTCTTGGGGGGATGAAAGAGAGCCAAGTGCAAAGGTGCGCCCACACAGAGAAGCCCAGTGTGCCACCGACCTTTAGCTAGAGGGCAGCAGGCATGGCTGGCCTGAGCCATTTGCGCTAACCCCACACCACCACCTCTGACGGAAGAAGCAATCCATGGGGAAGCTGTCCCAATACAAGGGTCACCGAAAGCAAAAGCTGCACACCAGTGCCTCTCCCACTGATTTCTGAAGGAGACCCCCCCCCCATAGATTGCACTCTATGGGACAGCTCCCAATCCTAATGGCACCCCAAATCTCTGGTCTCTGAAATAAGCTGCCTAACGGGAGGGCTGCTGCTGGAAGCCGGAGAGGGGCCCCTAAGCAGTAAGAGACAACTACCCTCCTTGGATGTCTCTGTAAGCTGCAGCGTACTTCTGTGCATGAAGTTCAGACGCAGCAGATGCAGCCTAGCAAGATGCGCCTGAGCACAGAATGGCCCTTCATGGAGAGCTAGGAATGCTTTTAAAGAGCAGCCCGGCCAGAGCGAGCTGAGCAGGACAAAGAGGAGTGGGCCCGCACTGGGTTCGGGGGCCCTGAAGCCTCGCTGAGCCAGGGCTGCAGATCAGCTCCAACACTTCTGAGCGCCTGCTGCCAAAACCCGCTTAATCACTTTCCTAAATCCAGAGTTGATGTAATCCCCAGATCAGAGAGAGTAACACCATAAATGCATCATCCAAGTGCTGTAACAGGGCTCCATCACACAAGCAGCTGTTCGACAAGCTTTATTGCTCGTTTGCATATGACTTTCCAGCAGTCATTGCATTTCCCTGCTCCCTAATGACAGGCTGCAAATGAGATTCTGGGGTGCATGACTCGAAATGGGACTGGGATATGAAATCTGGCAACACAAAGCAGCTGAAGACTCGCAAGGTAGCCCAACCACATTGCTGAGGACGGAGATAAAAGCCACCATAGGCAGAGAAAGGCTCAGAGAGCGGTGTACACTCCAAGAGAAAAAAAAAAGCATCTTTCTATGCCAGTATGATCATCTGGCCTTCAGATAAGGAAACTAAGCAGGCACACTCAGTTGTATTCTGTTCTGCTAGTCATGAACCTGGGGCACATGGAAGCCACACCCCTGCCCATTATCCCTTGCTGTGGGTTTAGACTGCACTCGGCATCACCCAGTACACTTTAAAAACAAAGCTTGCATCCCTCAGCATCTAGAACCATTAAATTTCATATCGAAGGGCTCAGAAAGACGCAGCCAACACTGTTCTGCCCCGGCTTGGAACTGAGATACAGCCCGCTTTTCCTCACAGTGCCCCCTTCTGCTGGATCTGCACCAGGAAGACGTGATGGGTGCCCACTTGGGAGGGTCTTAAAAGGGGCTGGGTGAATTCATGGAGGACCGAGCAATGCACGGGTCCTAGTCAGGAGGCCCACGCATGCCTGCCTCTGTATGCCGGCTGCTGGGGAACATCAGGGGGGCTGGTATTATGAACATGTCCCGTCAGTGGGCTTTGCACAGGCCCCCGACATAGTGGAATGAGCACAGTTGCCATGGGAAGTGTAGCACTCGTGTGACTACAGAATTCATGGATTGCTTCTGCTGCAGCCAGAGTATTTACACGAGCCCTCAGAGAGACAGTGAAGTGCCAGGCTGGGTCACTGCTTTCACTTGGCACATCCAAAACTGTTCCTTCCTCCACTGCCTCTTGCCCAAAAGAACTTTCTGCAGGAAAGTCCTTGCTGATACTGTCTCTGGGCATCCCTGCTGAATGAGAATAAGGATTACAAACCTGTCTTCATTTCAACAGCAGTATATTGGGTCAAGAATACGGCTCTGGGAACCCAGAAGGTCCTAAACTACACAGCCCAAGAATCCAACAATAATGCTCTTCTGAACTTCCATCTGCAGCCTCCCTGAGGAACAAGCTAATTAATCACGTTTGTATGTTACTTTCTCCACCGCAGTAATCCAACTTCTGTTTGAGTTCATACAAGAAAAGATAATAATGTCCCAAGATTTATTGAGTGTGTGCTTGAAATTGGCAAGGGACAGTCAGGTTTGTGAAGAGCAGGCCAGCATCTATTAGCTCTTAGGTTCACCAAGTTTGTACTAATGCAGAAGCACACATACTAGACCAGAAATGGAATCCGAGCCTGCTGACCCAGGTTCACCTTCTGTTTGAGAAAGATCTTTATTTTGCAAATGATTCTACAATCTGCAATCCGACATCAAAGCTGGGGTGCAGGCACAGAGGACGAATTGAGTTTCAGAGAGAAGGGGAAAGGTGACTGATGCCGCCTTTCTTATTTGGCTCATCCTCATGATTATTCGATTCACACTGAGTTCCTCTCTCACTCGCAAGTTCTGGGTTTCCAGCATTTTCTTCAAACAGTTCTCATAAGCCACATATGTGGAGATGTGAATGGGTCAAAACCAAGAACCACAGACATTTGCCCCCCCCCCCCGCAGAATAAAAGCCCACCCACAAAACCTTGCAAGAGCAAGTAAGGCACTAAGTCACATTTATAAAACCCTGAAATTTAATTTTTTTAATATTGCTTGGATGATTTACGGTTGGATCCAACATTGGTCCTCTACTAGCGAAACAGAAAACACCAGCCTAATGGTTTTCTCCTCCCCCTGCAATCTCCACCTGCCTAAAGTCTATTTTGAAGGGTTGGGAGAGCCTCCAGAGCAGATCCGCAAAGTGCTTGGGGGTCTGCAGGAGGACAGAGGGAGCGGGAAAGCTCTGCTGCTTCAGCGGAAGTCCACTGACATGACATGGGATCCAGCCCTTCAAGGCCCCCTTTCCTGCAGCGCTGGTGGCAAACAGAGAAGCCACTGTGCTTGCACAGAGTGAGGCCGTGTGTGCCTGGGCTCTGCAGGGGCTCTACGTCTATTAGAGCAGGAGTCTAAATCAGGAGTAAGTGCCAAATAGAGAGAGGCATCCTCTGTAAAATCAGGACCAAGATGGACAGGACCTTGGACCAAATGGTCCCGCTTGTAGTCCTGACAACTGCAGCTGGTTCATTCAGTCATTTCCCTACCACACCCCGCATTCATCTGTGGAATGACAATGAATGGCTGCACCATCTTTTGCAGACTGAGCAGCACTGAGAGGTGCCAGGCCCAAGCATCCACCGCTCTCGGCCAACTCTCACAAGGCAAGCATCCGTCTCAGCGACCAATCAATTCCAGCATCTCCTGGGGATTTACTATCTTCTCCCGGGGCTTCCCAACCAGTTTGCCTCTTGTGACTTCAGCAGCATCAATCTTCTCCCAGTCTGAAAAGGAAACTGGCCGAATCCCTGTTAAATCACCAGAAAAAGGGAAAGGGACAGATAAAACATCAACCCGCTCCTAACTAATCATACAGGGAGACCACGGGCAGGCTTCTTTGGAATCAAGTACTGAATTAAAGGCTTGCTTTGCACATCAATTACTCGGCAGACTCAGGAGAGCAGGCCAGGTGAGACTAGCTGAATCTTGGAAGATTCTTAAAATAGGGGATGGAGTGCTGTTGCTTCACTTAAAAATCCTGAATTGGTTTAGTGGGAACACATTAATTGAAAACATTTGGCTATAATGACAGTAAAGGACTCAGCTGGGATTTAGAATGCATTCTCAAATACACTGGGGAAGGATCAGTCCAGAGATGATGCAAATTCAGTAGTCCATGCAAAAAACCCCCAGAGCCAACCTGTGTGGTGCTTCTTCAGGTTTCATGTGTCACTGAGAGATTATCTGATGCCAGGCTCCTTTTGGAAAGGCGTGTTTACATTCTTAAGTTCATTGTAGCTACGCTTTTCATGGCACCACTCCCATGGCTTTACATAACGAAGGCTGCTCCACCTACAAATAATTATCATGTAGCAAACAGAGTGTACACCTTGGGCTGCCTTGGCATATAGTGGGGAATCTGAACTGGCAAATGGGCCCTGGAACATGTCCATGTAGAAAAGTAAACACATATACGTTTATCGCACAACTGTGCATACACAACTGCAGATGACATCCACTTTTAAATTACATTCTTGTGATATCGGGGCAGCAAAAGTGGCCTTTAAAGCCTTCGTATTTGCAAAGGGACACATGCTTCAGGCTTAGAAAGATAAACACCCACCTCCTACCATTCAATGGTCTGAAGATCTTACTGCTCTTTTTGCATCTCAATGTATCTCCTGCAGTCATCAAGTTTGTCAGGATGGGATGCTTATTTAGATAGCTGGGATGCTTATATTAGTGAAACTGCCTCTGTATGAATTAGCTGCAAACAACAGTGATGTCCATGTAGAAAATGCAGTATTTGCACTATTGCTTCTAGGTCTGCCAGTCACTTTCTGCCTGACTCCACTTTTATTTGAGTCAGATACGGAAAGGACAGCACAGCTCTCCCATCCAGACGTGCCCAGGCCCACAGAGCTTGCACTGATGTGTGAGGAGCACTACCTGGGACAAACCTTCCTTCATCCCCTTGCAGTGAGACCGAAAGGTCATCTCCAGGTGGTGCACCTGGAAGGGGATCCGTGTCACAGATCCTAATGAACTCCAGTTTTCTAATATGAAAAGCCTCTGTGCCAAAGCTTGAATTTATGCCAGGAAGCAGTTAACCTGGGCAGGCGTGCTGAGGATGTAGCAACTGAGTTTCAAGATCTGTCTGTTCTCATAGAAGGCTCCGGGGCTGATCTGTACTGACAATCCAAATGCCACACCATGGTTTGGTTATGCAATCAGTACACACCTGGCCCATGTTTGCCATTGTGATATTGGAAGAAAGCACATGGCTGCCAGCAGGACTTCAGGCTTTGCGACTCTCCAGGCCACTAGACAATCCAGAGAGGCAGACAAGCAGAGAGGAGAGAGGCTGGAAAGGAGACTGCCGGAAGGGAGAGGACAAGGAAAAGCATTCAAGGCAAAGGGAAGCGACGGCAGTGCAAGCTTCTCAGCAGGTAATAGCGAGATGTCTTCTAAAACCCCAAGTTTTGACCTTGGTGTGTCCAACTAAACAATCAGGCTGCAACGGTTTTGGTATCAAGGGGCAGGACACAGCGTGATGCTCCATGATTTCATTACCTTCAAAATCTCTGAAGTAGCCTAGCTAAAATTGTAAAAGTGTATGTGTTTACCGCCTCAAAAGGGGAGGCATGTCTGAGACCAGCAAGGGCAGATGTGACGGCCATAACACACTTCCCCCTTCCCCCACGCTTTCCAGTTTTGAGCGCCTACATCTCAATGAACTCGAGGCCCAGATGTGCAGTGCCAGTCCCTGGCTTTCAGCAGGGCTGGCTCCCTGGCAAGCATGTTGAGGATTCCAGCCTAATAGGCTTCACAGACCACATCAGAGGCGTCTCTTCATTCAGACTTGGTTTTGTGCTAAACATGAGTGAAGCAGGAAGGGCTGTCAAACTTTTCGTGCTGAGGAGCAGAAAAGATGACACCAACACCACTGCTGGTTGGGCCGGCCTTCCCCGAATTACACATCGTAGCGCCGTAAGTTACAGTACGGGCAGGCAGGAGGCTAGAGGAGAGTCAGGACTTCTACGGGCTTGATCCATAAAGATCTATGTATTTCCCTGAAGATGAACTGGCGAAGCCCAAAGTAAACCAGAAAGCCAGCAGTATGTCTTGAGCCCTGGCAAGTCACATTCAAGCTCTGGCACGTGCTCCTGAGGTTGCCATTGGCAAATCCCATTTTTCAGCCTCAGCTCGTCACCAATAAAAACTGAAGGGCTGATCTAGAAGTATGGGGTGAGATCCAGCAAGGACCATAAAGCAAAGTCCACTCATAAGTAGCAGAATGACTCCAACACTTGAATGTGCTGAAACAATCTAAGACTTTGGTTGATGGGAAAGAGGAAGGTGGAATTTGCTGCCCATGGTGCTTCTGTCAAGGGACTCTGATTAGAAGTGCGAGCTGAAAGCAAAACTAGGTTTTGATTATAGTTATTCTCAGGGATTCTTAGTTATTCTCAGGGATTCAACAAGAACAAGAGGTTTGAAAGAATGTGATAGCAAGATCTGTTATTACGCTTAAGCACCTAATATGGTGTCTCATATATAAACCAGAAAAAAACCAAGTTCCCCCTTCAGTGATTTACAACCTGATATGCTTTCCAAAGAGTTAGATGGCAAGCCCTCTCCACTTATGCCAGAAATTTGAATCTTCACATTTCCAACACTCTATCGTAGCTGGGGAAAGGGGGCTAGCGCATCATGCTGTTTTAAACTTTCTCCGGTTGACTATATCTCAGTGTATTAGGATACACTGCAAGACTTGCTGAACAAGAAGGGACTTGCTGCAGCAGCCAACTTGGTGACAAAGCTAATGTCTCCAGTGTGAATTGCAAAGCTCCAGGAACCAAGATTTAGGGTGGATGCCAGGAAGCACTTCCTGATGGTTAGGACTCCGAGGGTATGGAATGGGCTTCCACGGGAGGTGGCTGAGGCCCCATCGGTAAAAGTGTTCAAGGATAGGCTGGACATGCACATGGGAGGCATGTCATGAGCAGAGTCGGCTGGAGCTGGGGGTCAGACTAGATGGCCCAGGAGACCCCTTCTGACTCACTCTGCTTCTATGTTTCTAATTAAAATGCACACATCAACCAAGGTCACTGAGTCCCTTCTAGGACTCTAGTGTGTATCCCGCCAGGCAGACCCCCTCACCTCGGGACTGAAGGGTGCTCCTCACCAAGTCCATGCCTTCCTTGGCACCCGTGTGGGCCAGCGCACCCGACTGCAGATCCTCCAGGATGGACTGCGCCGTTTCGAAGCTATCATTCATGGTGGTGATGATCACACCGGTGGGCCCCCTCTTGACCCAGCCACTGCAGTACAGCCCTGCAGGGCGGGATGCACCGTTAAGCCACCGGAGCCAGCTCGTCCCCTTGAGCAGCCCCAGGCCGCAGCAGCACCCAGCCGTCCACTGCCATGGGAGGGCCTGCAGCTGAGGACCCTGCCAGGGCCACCCCTGGCCTCAGGCCTCTCATCACACGCTCCTTGGGGCCACAGCCGCCCGCCCCGGGCCACCTGCTCCTCATCATTCCTGCTGAAGCATCAGTACTGCAAACACACCTGTGGCTTGACTGACCTGGCGCCCCGAGGACTCTGCCCAGATTGTTGGGGATAATGCCCTGCCTGGAGTCAAAGGGCACCGCAGGGTCAATCGGGAGGCTCTTGTAACCGATGCTGCTCAGAATCAGCCCACTCATTAGCACCTCAACCTCTCCGGTGGGAACTGCCTTGGCAAACTCTCCCGAGCCCTGCGGAGCACAGATACAGAAAAGAAGAGGAGAGGAGGAGGAAAGGGCTCAGGAAGACATCTTGTAAGGCCGGCCCGGCCCACTGGCATCCAGGCCAACTGCGGGAGCCAGGAGCTCCTGATGCTTGCACCCAGCATGGTCCAGGATGGAGGCACCCGCCCGGGGAGCCCCATAAAAGTTCCCCTGAGGTCTCCAAATGACAGGCAGCTCCAGGAAAGAACAAGTTTTCCATCGCAACAGGGGCAGCTGCAGCAGCAGCACCACCTCCGTTCCAAACCCCTGCAGTTCACCAGCATCGCCCTTCCTCGTGCTAATCTGATGCATTATGAGGGCACCCACCCATCACGGATATCAATGCCAAAAAGATGGAGAGAACTCTTTTCATACCATGATGCGGAAAATGGATCCCTGGGGAGACGCTGAGCCGCCTTGCCGAGAGCCTGCCATTTCAGCTCTCAGACAGCAGGCAGTTACACTGGTAGTTGTAATTAGACCGCAAGTATAAAGCTGTACTTAGCTTAATACTGAAAGACTCCTGGGGGGAATCTCCAAAACTAAATGGCTGCAGCAGATCTCAGAACACCAGGCTGAAGAGCAAAGAGGAGAGGAAGCAGGGCTTGGGGACACAGGGGGAGGCTGGGAGCTCGTACTTCCAACCTGGTGACAGCCAAGCGGATCGCTCTGGCCCACTTTCCGTCAGAGGTGGGCAGCACTTCCTGAGGGCTGCGGAAGAACTTCAGGCTCCACTCTTGGGATGCCACAGCCCAACGGCCAGCCACCTGCTCGTCGGGTTCCTCCAACGCTGTCTTGGCTAGCAGCTCAGTCAGCCGTCTCCTAGGCCTGGGAACATCTGAAAATTACAAGAAGCACTGCAGATGCACAAGGAGCCTGCGAGAATCAGAGGTCACCACTGCATTGTGTGGAGTGGGGAGAGAAGAAGGAAGACCACCTTGTTCCACGTGTGTCAGAGAAGCTGAAGAATTCCCTGAGATTCTGCAAGCCATCAGAATGTGAGAAATTGGAAATGAACTCCATTACTTCAAGAGCAAAACAAGCGGACAGGACAGCAGCTGTCTCTCCCCACTCCTTCAAGCAGATCTGCTTGCAAGGAGGGGCATGACACACCAAACCAAAGCCTTCCTTCGCTTGAGTAGATCTCCCAGTGGGAAGGAAGCAAGCGTTCCACACAAATTCTGCATAAGCAGAGACCGACCCTTAGGGCAGGCGCTGCTGCCCAGAGAACCCCAGCCAGACCAAGGTGAGGCAAGTCTTTGGGCAGCCCTCTGGAGCACTGCAGTCCTCCTCCAGGAAAGCAAAGTAGAAGCGATGTTTAGATTCCTTGACAGAGAACACCAAACCACTTCCATCCAGTTTACAAAGACTGGATCCTTAAAAATACAGTATTGTGCTTCATATAAACGTTTGCATAAAATGCAGAAACAGACGGTGCCCACACTCTTGTGGGTGTAGGGCAAGGGGAACGTTTAGGCTGGCTTGACCTTGCGGGTTTAGGCTGGCTTGACCTTGCGGGCACTTCCACGGAATTCAGGAGAGGCAGGGACGGGCTTTCAGCAAGCGCTACTGTATAAAACCCCTAAACAGAAGGCACTGGCAGCTAAGCAAAACTGAAACATCAAGACAGTTCTGCCATTTGACCAGATGTCAGTCCAGGCTCCCATTCGAGGACTAAAGGAGCAGAGCAAGATTCAGGGAGATTTTGGGGTGATCAAGTGGGAATGCATACCTCTCTGACCTCGTGCGCTACACTTCCGCTGGAAAGGGGCTTTTCTACATGCTCTTCGCTTGGCCCAGGCGCCCACAGCCTTTCCTGGTGTGTTGAACTACAGCTCCCATCAGGCCCAGCAGGCATGGAGAGTGCTCAGGAATTCTAGGAGGCGGAGTCCCCAATATCCTGGGGGCACCAGGTTGGCAAAGGCTGCCTTGGCCTCTTTTGCACTAGATCCACTGACAAAGTATTTAATCAAACCTGAGATTTCTCATTGTTGGTTGTTAACACTGTTTACACCCACACACAAATATATGCTCAAGAGTGTGCGCACAGTCTGTTTCTGTGTTTTATGCGAATATCTATATGATGCACGATACTGTATTTTTAAGGATCCAGACTTTGTAAACTCTCCAGAGAGCTTTGGCTCCTGCACAGCGCTGAAATGTAATGAAATGAAATCCTCTGGTGACTGAAGATCCTGGGCGCGCTTTCTCCCATGACCCGATGTCCTCCAGATGTTTTGGCTGCATGATCCCGGTCTCATTTTGGGCCATTCTGGCTGGGACTGATGGAGGCTGTAGTCTCAAATACCTGAGGCTGGATCCAGCCGGGCACTGGGCAAACAGGAGGGCTCTGCTTGGAAGGTGGGACGTGCGCATTCTCTCCTGCTCCTGGCAGCCCCAGGACAGCTCCTCCACCTGCCCTGGAGGAGGTGTGGAGAGCGTGTGTGGGGCTGCAAGGAGGATGAAGGGGAGAGAGTCTGCAGGTCCCAACCTCCATCCTTCTGCAACATCATCGCTGGATCCATCCCTCAGAAGGCCCCACAGTGCAGAGTTAATATCGGCTCCTCAGACCGCCGGCCCTCACCTGGACTCAGCGCAACTGCTGACTCAAATGCCCCTCATCTGATGGGTACCAGGAAGTGGGGGAGTTTTTCTCACTGAACATTTTGCTGATCCCAGGCATCAATCCTGGCTGGAGCCCTGACTCCCCAGCCTGTGTTTCGATGCTTTCTCAGCCCTGAAACGCACGCCATCTGGACATGGGAGGTCTTCCCGTCCTCTTCACTGACCACACCAGCAGGCACACCCAGGCCAGATGGGAGGCAAGGGCTCTCAGGCCAGGAGGTGGCTGTGAAGCATTTGAGAAACCAGCCACTGGCTGAGCCTCACCTTTGATAGCGTCTGCAAGGTCTCTGAAATCTGCAGGATTCAGGAGGGGCCGGGCACTGGGCAGGTTGATCATCTCCCGCAGCTCCTGAGGGTTTCAGACAGAGAGAGACCTTGTAAGTCGGTACTTCACACATTCCAAGTTACAGAAATGTGTGCCATGGAGGGAAACTGAGCCACGCTGGCTTTAAAATGCACAGAGCACCGAAAGTGGAAGCCGCAAGCGATTTATGAGCAACACTTCCCTGCTGCCCAGTTCTCTAGGTGGCTCACAATAAATCAGTATCATAAACAATTGTATACAAAACTTGTATTTGCAAGAGTTCATCTGTCTGTTTTTAATTATTTTTTTATCAAACTGAGCCCTTTGGATGGCAAAAACTTCCTGAAAATCAAGATAACAATCCAAGAGAGATGCACTGCCCTGACACACACACACGTCAAGTTTCCCTTCTGACACTTACACACTCAATTGAAGCTGCAGAAAGCAAATTAAGGAAGCACTTGTATTTTTTTCTACTTTGTGAACTGCCCTGGGAGCCTTTGGGCTGATGTGTAGAATAACTAGACAAAATAGCTAAATAAAATACTTGCAATGGCAGGCACCCCTTTCAACCAATTTGTTGCCTGATTTCCATAGGCAGGCTGGCCTCCCAGTCCCTGAAGGGAGCACCTCCTGCAAACACACACCTCACGCTTTCTTTCCTCCTGCAAAACAGCCATGCAGGTGCATCCTCCTCAGAGCCAGAAGCCCTGGGGCCACGGATCCTGCAGCAGCATGGAGTAAGCAGGGCACCGGGGAGCGCTTTTAACTACAAAGTGCAGTCAGTACACCAAACACATACACCAAACACATCACCCCTCAGGTGAACTCACCTGGAAGAACAGTTATTCAGGAAAGACTCTTGCTAAGGTTAAGCTAATGAAAACACCCCCTCCCCCCCCTTTTTTTTTACCTTTATGGTGAAGGCCACCTGGAGGGGGCCTCGCCTCCCTATCAGATGCACTCTCCTCACTTTGCTCTGGGCCAAGGCCGTGAGACTCTTTTCAGTGATGTCAGTTTTCTAGGCAAAAGGGAAAGACAGGATGGTCGGGGATTAGGCCCAGCAAGTGGGAAAGAGAAGCAAGGAACATGCAGCTCTCAACAACGGCCTGCTCCCCACAAAGCCCCTTGCACAGAGGAGATCCAAGGGATGTAGTCACCAAACATACATGGTGAGGTTGAGGATGCTGGTGAAATTGGCAATGGATTCAAACAAATTTAAATTGTAGTGTAATACTTACTGCTATGAATTGCTGCTGCAGAACTGATAGGCTAAATTGGTATGGTATAGAAATGTCATAAATAAATTTTATCAATCCAACCTGTAGATTCTGCAGCAGGCTGGCTTTTCCAGAGCTGAACAGACTGCACAATCTTGCAGACCATTTTCTTTCTCTCGCTCGCTCGCTCTCTCTTTCTTTCTCCTTCCTTCTTTCCTTCTTTTTTCTTTCTCTCTGCCTTTCCATATTCTTATGCAAATTTAGTCAAAGGAAAATATGAAATATAAAAAGGCTACTGAAAATTCATCCCAAATGTGTATTTGAGCAAACAGGTTTGAATACTGCTGAAACAGAGCCAACGAAGTGAAATCCACCCGTCCTTAGGTAGAACTGCCCACTTCCTTTGGGCAGCCACGCCTTGCATTGGTACGCACCTTGTTTTCCCAGCAGGGCATCTCTGCTTACAGCACCACAGGGAACCACTTGGGGCAAGCTCTGCCTGCTGCTCCCCGCACAGGTTACATTTTGCACTCAGGAATCAAATCCCAAGGACGCGCGCACAGCATCCCTCATGCAGGGTCAAAGGCTTCTGCCTGCAGAACAGTCTGATTTCCAGCGATTATCCCCCTCCCTTCCTCACACGGCCCACCCCATTCTCCTGCGTTGTGTTCCAGGGACCAGAGGAGCTGCCTTGGAAGAGGGAAGCAGGGAAGCCTGCTTCAGCCAGCCTGCAGCTCTTTCCACATAAATCTGGATCCGCACCCTCATGCACGGGCCACACGGGTTCGTTGTCCATCCAGTACTTGGTTCTTGAGTACAAAATGTAATATATGGAGTGACCTTCAAGCACCGTAACAAGTGCTTCCAGGTTCTGGAGCTTCTGTGTTAGGGTGCCTCTCACAGGCCCCTCAGACTCCCACCTCACCTGCTTTCTGTAACCTCCATGAGGCAACTACATAACTTCTAGAGAACTTCTAGAGACGTTCCAGATATTGCAGGTAGAGCCAACCAAGAGGACTCTTGCCATCAGCTAAGTAATTCTGTGCTTTGGAACACAGCAAACAGGGCTGAGAGACTAAGATGCCTCTTGCCCAAGGCAAGATGACCTACACTTTAGTCTGTGTTGCATTGCTGGACTGAGGCCAGGCAGACAGACAGCAAAAGAAAGACTGATTGTAATTGCCAGTGAGCGACAGGCAGGCTAAAACACAGGCTGGGTCCTTTCTCCTTTCTGCCGTACATGAAAAAGAACCGAGACTGCCCCCTCGTGTTTAGTTCTGGTACAGGACGCTTCTCCAAAGAAGAGCGTTGATCCCATTTCCCCCACAGCCCTGTGGCCTCTCCGAAGGGGGCAAGTCCAAGCTCCGTGGGGGCATATACGGTCTTTCCCATGCACTTCTCCATGCTTAGCTCTGTCTCTTTTTTAATGGCTTTCCCTTCTTTCTTTCCTAGCAGCTGGAACAATCTTGGAAGTTTCTTCTGGGAACTTTTAGTTTCCCCAACATGGTGCCCTTCCAGATCTTTTGGACTACACCTGCTAGCATTCCTGGCCAGTGGCCAGGGATGATGGGACTTGAAATCCAAACTATCTGAAAGGCATCCGCTTGAGAAGTGTGGCTTCTAACTAAAATCCTAGTTATCTAACTGGGAATGGGGGGGGGGGGGAGAGGGGGAGGAAATAAATGCATACTGTTCTTCCCCCTTAAAGCAGAAGAGAGAGTAGAAAGAAAAGAGGCAAAGGGAAGGAGGTGGGGAAGGAGTCACCTTTGCTAAAGCAGTTGCTGCAATCACAGAGGGCAAAAAACCAGTAATGTCTTGAAAACAGCAGCCAAATACAAGGCAACAGTGACCCGTTTGGTTGGGGACGCTGCGTCGGCCTTGGATTCTGGGAGAACGCCTCGCAGCACACAGGCGCTTGAAGGAGGTGCAAGGACTGGTCTGCCCGCACAGTACCTCTCACCCCCCTTGCTTTGAAGCACTGAGCAGCCTTGCGCAGTCACCCCTCTTACGCATGCAGAGCGATGCGTGGCTCTGGTCCCGTCTGATCCCTCTGCTCCTACTCCCCCCCCCCCCCCCACCCCCCCCAGGGGCAAATACCAAATGACCCCCCCCCCCCCCCAGCCCAGCCATAAGAGCAGAGCAGCTCCAACCCATAAGGAGAGAAGCTGGCACTCCGGCCGCACTCATGGAGCCTCCGTTAATTGGGAGCTTCCGGCCAGGGCGACCTCAGTGCACAAACCCTTCCTTAATCTCTTGTCCACCATTCTGAAATGAAACCCTGCCTCTGTGCTCCGTTCGGCCCTCCCGGATTTGTTCTCAACTTACCCGAAGCTCTCGAAGAGGAGTCAACAGAATCCGGGCAACGTCCAGAGCCACATTCCCGTGCCCCAAGATGACCGCCGTCTCGCTGCTCAGGTCGGGCTTCAGCTGCAGAAGAAAAGAGGTCCTCAACCCATCACCTCTTCAGCCGCCTCCCCGCGCTCTGCAGTGGGGGCACCCTGCCCCAGCCAAGGGAGCCCACAGTCCGCATCTGTTCACAGGCTCTGAACCCGCCAGATTCTTCATGCACCTTCCCCTACTGAGGGCACCAGGCAGGGCCTTTGCAAAGTCAGCCAGTGCAGAAGAGGCAGCGAAGCATTCAGAAAATCTGAAGGCAGGGACCAGCAGCACAGCAAAGAGTCGTGCCTTAAAGCGTTTTTCCAGTTCCGCCTTGTGCAAAGTCACTTTCCCTTCCTGTGCATCCCTTCCATGTAGGAAAGCATCATGCGGATCAACGGATACAACAGGGCATACATGCTGCTGTGCTACAAATGCACGTTGAAACAAACATGGGTGCATCTGCCTCAATTCTGGTTGCCAAGTTACTGCAAAGCAGTGCCATCCACATCAAAAACGCTTCCGCCGAGGAGGCATCCGTACAGGGATGGGACTGGGGAAGAAGGATGACAAATCAGGACTTCCCGCCCCCCCTCCCAAACTTTAGCGTTGGAAATTTGAGGGTGTACTGACAAAAACTCCTGTGAAACGTTTTTTCTAGAATGAGTAAAATGCTTAAAACAAGGTTTTATTTACAAATGCACAAGTGCAATTATTTTTATTCAAGATCATTTATGGAAGACTTCCCCAACTTGGCACCCTCCAGATGTGCTGGACTATACCTCCCAGAATCCCCAGCTGGCCAGGCATTAGAGAATTGCCCCTGAGAATTGTTACGAACATTTTCACTATTAAAAAATTAAACTCAATATTCAAATGTACTACCAGCCCTTAATATTCTAAGTCTCCAAGGCTGTTACTGGCCAAATAATGCCCTTTACTTTTAATTAGTATGAGACTGGGAGTTTCTGTTCACAAGTTTTATTTTTCCTGCTTGCCTCACACGCTATCTAGCCGAGGGTCTGCTTCAAATCTCACCTTCCTTAATTAGTTCTCTCCCCAGGAAGTGTCCACCGCCAAGGCACCATCCTCAAGCCCCAACACACCCTTTCGCAGAATTAAGACTACACTTTTCATCTATCAGGCAGGCTGCTGTAAAAGGAACTGACACGATGTACATCAAATGCTCCGAATGCTCTAGAGGGCTGCGTAAGCCATTATTTGTTAACCCGGGGAATTCTGCCTACAAAAGGTGGCAAGACACCTGCAGCATAATGCACAGAAAACCTTCCCAGCACTAGTTTTGCTGCACAGCTCTCCCACGCGTGATGGCAGAGATCCCTTGATTTCCAACACTCCCTAGAGGTAACAGTGTCCTGGGTGAAGTGCCCACGTCCCTTGCTCATCCCCAGGCAGAAGTGGCCCTTGCAGCTTTCCTTATGGCACCTCCAAGAGCGGGAGCCAACTAATCCCCTCTTACGGATGTGCAAATTGTTCCCATTTGCAAAGCTGAGGAGGATTTAATTTGACGTCTGTTAATCTTTTCCCAATTGCAGGCCTTTCAGCCAGCCACTAAGCCAAAGCTGGATGGCTGCTTGAATACGCAGAATGCCCAGCGACCGGCCGGGGAGCAAGGGTGGAGCAGCTCTGCCCTTACATTCCTGTTCTCGGGCAGGCCATTGTACCACCCCACAAATGCTCTCGCCGAATAAACTCCCGCGAGGTCCTCCCCGGGAATGCCAAGGGCGCGACTGTTCTCGGCTCCATAGCTCTGTAGAGAAAGAAGAGGGGTGGGGGGAGAACGGCACATCAGGCAGATGGGATGCCAGAGGAGGGAGGAGGCCAACAGGTGTGTGTGCACGGGCACGCCAGCAAACCTAATGCTGCACACACAGTCCTTGCAGGTAGAGTGATCAGCATAAGGCGTGAGTGGAGCCGGCTGGAGCCGGGGTCAGACTAGATGGCCCAGGAGATCCCTTCTGACTCGCTCTGTTTCTCTGTGTCTGTCTCCGCACAGAGCAGGTGAAGGGAGTGCGCGGCCTCCAGCAGGACTGGGGAGGAATGGGGGAGCGGCAGAAGCAGGTGAGGCAATCCCTGGCAGGGGGCACCATCAACAGCGGCAGTGGGTGTAGAGGCCACAACTACTGCAGCAGATGGGTCATGGTGGGGCAGGAGGTAAGTTCTTGGGGACCACAGATTGTGCACCCCTGTTGTGGAAAGGTCTGCTGGCTGTGACAAAGTAGCAAGTCGCTTCTCCGTTCTCCAATCTCATACTTTCCAGAAGTGTTGGGACAACAACCCCCAGATTCCTCCAACCAGCATAGCCATGTCAATGATGGGAGTTGTCATCCAAGACACCTGCAGGGCCCTGGGGTAGGGAAGGCTGCATTATGCCAAGCCATGGGGGCTGTCAGCACAGATGACGACTTGAACACTTTGAACTAGAGATGCGTGAGGAACAGGCAGGGGGAAGCCGATGGGCTAGCAGGATTTCTCCCAATTCCAGTTTATTAGCCCTGTGCTAGCACCAGTTTACTGTTGTGAGTCAAGAGAGCTGGGGGATTTCTCTGTTTTAAGATGGAGCATGGTTGGCTCATTAAAAAAACAAACAAAACGCAAACACACACTAAGGAAATGTACACAAATAATCCCAAACAATGCAGTTCTAGCATAGTTTGCATAAATCTCACTAGAAGTATGTAGTTTCCTAGTGCAGTTTGCACAAATTGTAAGCATATGCACAAATCTCCTTGATGTTTTTTAAAAAATGTGCAAACTGTGATCCATCTTAGAGAAGGAGTTCCATGGAAGAAAAACAACTTGAGCATTTTCATACTTTGAGGGAAAGTGTGTATTTGGGGTGCATGCTTGGAAAGACATACTTTTCATGTTTGAAAAGAAAAACAGACATTCATATTTCACGAGCAAGAACAAGAAGGTGGAACATGGAGAAATGTGACAAGCTGGAACGTCACTTGTTCTCCCATCCCTGCTTTGAACTTCAGAAAACGGTGGTCCACATGTGGATATTCTGAGGACTTCCTGATATGCAACTATCAGAATGACCCATAGGCAAAGTGACACCAAGTGGTTCCATTTATATATTCTAACTGGGGTCCTGCACCAGGGTGAAATGCACATCCTCAGCCCCGTGAAGGCCAGTGTGGGCATATTCCTGGATACTGTGACGCCAGCACACCCAGGCAAAGGTACAGGGAAAAGCCACATCTGACCTGAACCGTCATCTCCCCCTGCAGTCCTCTTTCCTCCCCTCTTCACCCCACCGCTAGGTGAACTCACCAAGACCACTGCATGGTACGCCTCCTGCAGCTCCTTCACAGTGACGTCCTTCCCCACCGTCACGTTGCCGGAATAGGTACAGCGCCCAGAGCGTGCCGTCTGAGTAAATGAGTTGATCACGTTCTGTTGGGAGAGGTCAAAAGAGGTCCCACCTGAGCCGTTCTCCCCAGTGCTCAGGCAGGAGGGAGGCCGCCGAACGGGGGCAGGGTGACAAAGGTCCGCAATTACTTTGCAACAGCGGAGGCAGACGCTCGCGCTCCAGCTCAGGCTGCCTCTTCCAAGACTCCTATCTGACAACCGGTAAGAATACCCCATGCTAAAATATGGCTGTTAACCATGGCCTGGCACCAGGCCAGTCAGCGCCACTGAAGGCGTGCATCTATTTCTCACAGGAGCAAGGGCGGGTGGGGAGGCCACGTAGCCCATGCGCAGTGGTGGGCCGTTCACTTGCTTTACAAGGTTGCATTCACTTTATGGGGATGGAGACCGTGGACGCACATCCACGTAGGGTATTTTATGAATGGGGTACCATGGTAGCAGGATATCGATGACCTTGAGCAAAGTTCAGGATGGCCCCTCCAAAATCTAGCGGTCCATCTTATTGATTGATTCCCTCTAAAAGTCATGCAAGATCCAAATCCCAGGTGCAAGGACAACACGTGCTGTGTGTAAGCATAGATTTGGACATATAAACGTGATGATTATGCTTAGTTATTCATGCAGCAGCCACTCTTTCCTAAGTGCCAGGCATAGATGAAAAGCAAAGGCCATCCCTGCCTGCAGAGACTTGGAAGAAGGAAGAGAAAAAAAGACGGACGGAAGAGGAAGACCAACCAGCTGTGATTTACTCTGACATGACTTCTGAGTGCCAGCTCCAGGGAGGTTTAGGGGTGGCCACAATGGGCTTGGCTTTCCTTGTGGTGGCCCCTCGTCTACAGAACAACCTCACCTCCGTAATCTTGCCATCTTTTTGGTGCCAGATGAAGATGGCCCTCTGTGCGCAGGCCTTCACATACTGATTTGGCTACCCAGGGGCTTGAGGGAATCGCCCATCCCAGGTGTTATTTCCCTGAGTCATTCTTTGTTATTCGCTTTAGCTGTTACGACTCTCCAGCGTTGCTCTGCATTTATTATATGTCATTGCATTTTATTGTCTTGTTTATGGGCTGTTCCAAACTGTTGCTGATGAACTGGAGAGCTGTGCTTTCTTTCCATTTTCTTTCAATGCACAAGAATGCAGCAGCTTTCAATCCCCAGCCAAGGGCAGAACCAGGGTGTGCTTTCCTTCAGTTCCACAGACCCAAAGTAAGGCAGCTCTGCAGCCCCAGTCCTGGCCACGAGAGTTTAAGGGTTTTCCAACCCTCAAGCCGGTGACGTTCCTTGAGCCTTGGTGCTTTTATCCGATTCAGCAGTAGAGTCCCTACAGAGTCCCTGCTTGCGACCCTACAGAGCAAGGGAGGCCCCCGGGCTGCCTGCAGTCATGGCTGGGGGCCCTCCTCAGTGGACGGAGACAGAAAAGTTGAACCTCCCCTCTCTGCCTGCCACGATTTAGGACTGCTTGTGGTGAATGTGACAGTTTCTCCCATCCCCAGCCATCTCCTTGGGGCCACTCTTTCTCTGCTACCACTGACAGCAAGAAAGCACCACACTCCAAAGTAAAAGCAGTGGAGTAGCATGACCTAGTGGCAGGCAGCAAGCCCGGCCTTGGGGTCAGGCACCCCTGCCAAAGGGGCCCCACTTGTTTTGTGCGCCCACACTCTTCCCTGGATGGGCTCAAAGCAGCGATTCTGGCTTCCCTGTTAGGCAAGCGTGAGGGGAGGATGGGCACTTGGCCAAGGGCCCTCGGCACACTCTTGATCTGCCCAGGGTGCCAGGCTGGCTCACAAATCCCTGCATGTCTGGAGAAAGGAATTTTCAAACAGCACACTGGCCAAGCACCCCACGTTCCCAGTCTCTACACACCGCACCCACCGACATGCCAGGCGTGGACTGCCAGGACAGGACAGAAAGCTGCTACCAACCTTGACTTCGGGGTGATCTGGAGCCACTCCAAAGCGAACCAGGCCGAAGGGAACTGGCAACTTCTCGTAAATATCCACCTGAGCCAGCTTGTGATGCTGGGAGGAAGTTCAATTTATTAGCACGCATGATAACACATAATTCAAATGAGCACACACCTAAGCGGTATCGACTGGGATTAATATTATACAGTTGTTGAAACTGGCTGGACAACAGTTGCTGGTTGAAGCAAGTCCTACTTTCCTTCTCAGTCCCAGTTCCTCACAAATTTCAGTGAGGACTGGTCAGGCAGGTGGGCCTGCAGATTCTTCCTGAGGGTGGATCAGCATCCTTCGCACATCCTCCCCCATGTTACATCTGCCTCAGTATGGCCCCACAAGCCAGCTCTGGTACAGTCTGTGAGCTCCCAGGCCCAAGAGAGTCACTGGGCCTAAACAGACAAAGCAGAACTCCACATACATGTATCTGGAAATCAGGTATTTCGTGTAGTACTTCCTTTCAACTCTCCACAGGATTCGGTAGCCCTACCTATGACACCGAGAGCATCACAAACAAGAGTGTTAAGGGTTCAGAGCAAGCCTCTTGCTCAGTAAAATGGGGGGGGGTCTCACATTTAAATACAAAAAGAATGCTGGGTCCTGCAATCCCTCCGAAAAACCAACTTCAAGGACAGTCCTGTCTAGCACACCCAACATCCATCCTTGCTCCCCTTCCAACTCTCACAGGATTCCTGTCTCAGCTCACAACGTTTGCGGCTCATGAACAGATCACGTCCCCTTTGAAGGGACATGCACTGACTCTGTGGCAGCCAACTCTGAAGAAATGCCAATGAGCCCTGGATGAAGACAGGAGGCAACACAGTTGCCCTGTGAAACCAGAAGCACTCAATGGAACCTCCTGTCAGTAGAGCAAGATCCAGACCACCCTAAGCCTTGACCAAAGTCTGCTTTTGTGCATTTTTGGTTCAATCTGGATAACAGAAGGAGCTAAATTTCGGCTTATAATCTGTGCTCAGCCACTGCTTTTTTGCCTCAGAATTCTAGAAACAACTTGATACTCAGAGTACTAGGCAGAGACTAATCTAGTCTCCACCTCCTTCTTGTGACCAAGTTCAAATGCCGCCCTTCTGGGAACCCCCTGTGAAAGATATTAGGAGGGTGAGTACCCGGAGGAGGGCCTTCTCTGCGGTGGTGCCCCACCTATGGAATGCGCTCCCCAGAGAGGTCCGCCTGGCGCCGTCGTTATTTGTTTTTCGGCGCCAGGCTTAAAACTTATTTTAACTGTTAATTATTTATTAACTAGGGGTTTTTTGTTTTTTTAGCCAAGAATGCACTGGGGGGTGTTATTTATTGTATAATTTAGTACTTATTTTATTACTTCTGTATTTATGTGTTGTGAGCCACCCCGAGGCTTTGTTGCGATGGGGAGGCATAGAAATGTTTTAAATAAATAAATAAATAAACAACAAATCATCTTTGTGGCGGTGTAAACTGGCATAGACAGTGCAGCACCGAGCAGGGGGTTGGACCCAATGGGCTTCTTGGCCCCTTCCAGATCTACTAGTCTATGATTCTGTTATTTGTTCTTCTCCGTTTTGTTTCTTTCCCCTACACCAGGCTTCTTCTGCATCATCCAACCTGATGAAAAGCTCTGGAGAACCTGAAAGCGCCATACTGTTTTATGACATTTTGGCTGGTTCTAATAAAGCTTATCGCCCAAGTGTGGATTCTGCTCTTTTTCCTTTCCCTTTATGAGCCAGTGTGGCTCCCATTGCTATTTATACTGTCTTTAGAAGTCAGTGGGGCACACTTTCTGGTGCTGTTTTCTCATACACCTTTGAGTTCCAGTTGATTTTACTTCTGAAACAGCCAAGTACTAAGCCAGATAGGCCATCAGAGGTTATACGAATTATGTCTGATGATGCAAGACGAATGTTCTACTTTGCTTTCTGTGATAGTCATCTGTATTATAAAAGCAAGGTGACTGCTTTGCTTTGGATGTAGCACTAAATTATAGTTTGGTGTGAGAAACACTCCCTCTTCACCCTAATGCAGCCAAAAGGAGAAGATCAGAAGGTTTCGTGTCTGTTTGCATGGTCTGTAGTCGATTTTTACTATGGCTTATGGAAACAAGACAGGATTCTAGAATACAGTTCAAAGCTGACATTTCCCTAAACAATTGTTAAATCAAAGTTTGTTCCTGAGTAAGTTCAGATATTATACCTAACTTCAATTACTCATTAACAGAAGGAAAAGCTTCTGTGAGGCTCATGGAAACCACGGTTAACAGGACTGTGCTGCTGGCTGCTAGACAAAAAAGCATGGCCAGGAAGTCCAACCACAGCTAAAAAGAACCCTGACATAAAGACGTATAGCATTTCAGTGTCACAGAGTTTTACCATCATGTAAGCCATTTGCCTTTCAGTAATATGCACTTCCCCTTCATGGATCACTGCCTTGTCGTGGCGAAGGGGCTTGCGTAGTTCAATGAAGCTATGAGCCATGCCGTGCAGGGCCACCCAAGATGGACAGGTCATAGCAGAGAGCTCTGACAAAACGTGATCCACTGGGGAAGGAAATGGCAACCCACTCCAGTACCCTTGCCATGAAAACCCCATGGACAGCACCAAAAGGCAAAAAGATATGATGCCAGAAGATGAGCCCCTTAGGTCGGAAGGTGTCCAATATGCTACTGGGGAAGAGCGGAGGGCTAGTACTAGTAGCGCCAGAAAGAATGAAGTGACTGGGTCAAAGCTGAAAGGACACTCAGTTGCAGATGTATTTGGTGGTGAAAGGAAAGTCCAATGCTGCAGAGATCTATACTCCATAGGAACCTGGAATGTAAGATCCATGAATCAAGGCAAGCTGGATGTGGTCAGACAAGAGATGACAAGACTGAACATCGACATCTTAGGAATGAGTGAACTAAAATGGACAGGAATGGGTGAATTTAATTCAGATGACTATCAGGTATACTACTGCAGGTAAGAATCCCTCAGAAGAAATGGAGTAGCCTTCATAGTCAATAAAAGAGTAGGAAAGGCAGTACTGGGATACAATCTCCAAAATGACAGAATTCCAAAGAAGGGCAATGCCAAAGAATGTTCAAACTACCACACCACTGCACTCATTTCACATGCTAGCAAGTTATGCTCAAAATCCTACAAGCTAGGCTCCAGCAGTATGTGGACTGAGAACTACCAGAAGTACAGGCAGGATTTCAAAGAGGCAGAGGAACTAGAGATCAAATTGCCAACATATGCTGGATCATGGAGAAAGCTAGGGAGTGCCACAAAAACATCTACTTCTGCTTCATTGACTATGCTGAAGCCTTTGATTGTGTGGATCACAACAAATTGTGGCAAGTTCTTAAAGAGATGGGAGTATCAGACCATCATATTTGTATATTGAGAAACCTATATGTGGGTCAAGAAGCAACAGTGACAACTGGACACGGAACCACTGATTGGTTCAAAATTGAGAAAGGAGTTTCGCAAGGCTGTATACTGTCGCCCTGCCTATTTAAGTTATATGCAGAGCACATCATGAGAAAGGCGGGGCTAGATGAATCACCAGTTGGAATTAAGATTGCTGGGAGAAATATCAACAACCTCAGATATGCAGATGATACCACTCTAATGGCAGAAAGTGAAGAGGAACTAAAGAGCCTCTTGATGTGGGTAAAGGAGGAGAGCGCAAAAGTTGGCTTGAAACTCAACATTAAGAAAATCAAGATCATGGCATCCGGTCCTATCACTTCTTGGCAAATAGATGGGGAAGAAATGGAAGTTGTGACAGATTTTATTTTCCTGGGCTCCAAGATCACCGCAGACGGGGACTGCAGCCAAGAAATTAAAAGACGCTTGCTCCTGGGGAGGAAAGCTATGGCAAATCTAGACAGCATAGTAAAGAGCAGAGACATCTCCCTGCCAACAAAAGTTCATATAGTCAAGGCTATGGTTTTCCCAGTTGCAATGTATGGCTGTGAAAGCTGGACCATAAGGAAGGCTGAGCGCCGAAGAACTGAGGCCTTTGGATTGTGGTGCTGGAGGGGACTCCTGCGAGTCCCTTGGACTGCAAGGCGATCAAACTGGTCGGTCCTAGAGGAGATCAACCCTGATTGCTCTTTAGAAGGCCAGAGAGTGAAGATGAAACTCAAATACCTTGGCCTCCTAATGAGAAGGAAGGACTCCCTGGAGAAGAGTCCAATGCTGGAAACAACAGATGGCAAAAGAAGAAGGAGACAGCAGAGAACGAGGTGGCTAGATGGAGTCACTGAAGCAGTTGGTGTGAACTTAGGTGGACTCCGGGGGATGGTGGAGGACAGAAAGGCCTGGAGGAATGTTGTCCATCGGGTCGCGATGGGTTGGACATGACTTCACGACTAGCATAGCATAGCATAGCATAGCATAGCATAATATGCACTTAGCAAGTTTTAGGCTAAAATGCTTAGCACATTTAGGGTGTAATCCTAGGGTTTCCTGGCATCATCAGAAAGGCCATAGGATTTTTCAGAGTCTCGGCTCCAAGATCCTGCAATCTCTAAGCTGGGACTTTGAAGGCCAAGCCTCTGCCCTGTCTGCTCACAGCTGGCATGGAAAGAAAGGCAGTGGATGCCCCTCTACCAAAGTCACAACTGAGTCCTGAAGGAGAGGAAAAAAGGATGTAAGAGAGAAGGATGGGGTCATGATTGTGATCAGTGCCACAGCTTCCTGCCCTCCCTGACGCTAAATCTAGATGGACTAGTGACCAATTGGAGAAAATGCAGCTCCCTCACTGCTGCAGGGCAGCCAGCTGCAGAAGAGGACTGGGCCCTTGCACCTGTACAAGGAATTTCCACAGGTGTAGCCTCTCACTTTTGCACACCTATGAACACTGAAGGAGTCTCGTGCCCTTCCAGAGTTGGCCACCACGGCCTGCCTTAGGCAGGATCTTGCCAGGATAAAATGAGAGTGGGCAGGAGAGAATCGTGGATGCCTCCCTTGAGCTCCTTGAAGAAAAGGCAGGATATAAATCCTGTGACCATAAAGGACGACTTATATAAACCGTTAGTAAAGCCAGGCAAATGGGTTCCCCAGCACAAGCAAACCAAGATAACCATGTAAGATACAGAGGACTGATTGCAGTCCAACACTTTTGCCAAAGCGTAGAAAAAGCGATGTCCTTGAGCAGCTGCAGTAAGACCAGAACATCCATTTCTTTCCTTAATTATCAACTTGGCATGCCTTTCAGGATTATCCTTCACAGTTAATTGCGCTGCTCAGTGTTAGCAACAATATTATTTCCCGCTATTGACAATGGAAAGGGAAGCTTCGAAGTTAAAAAAGACGAAGATCAGGATCCAATCCTAATTTAATAGCATTGCATTCTGTACTAAATGCAAGTGGCAAAATACTTTCACCGAGCAAGTATTTTTTCTGAAGATTTCCAGTCCTCCAAACCTTCCCAACCCAAGAAAAGGCAACCCTTTTCTCCCTCTTTAAGCACTGTTGCCTCAAAAAAGAAAAGAGCAGTACAGAGCTGCATTTCCGGGGTCCTAAAACCAACCACAGAGAAGGGGGAAAGGGAGCAGACAGGAAGCAAGGGAGATAAGAGCAGACTGGTTTTGCAAGGAGGGGAGCATGAAGGGAGCAGAGACTGGGGAACAATATACAACATCTCACCTTATATTTTAAAAGGAAGTATTTCTTAATCTAAGGCTGTTCAATTTTTTCAGTCTACTAGTCCATCAGTAAAAAAAAAAGTCCTTCGGGGAAGGGGGGAATGGTTTTTCCCCACATATATTTGTTTTATTTCTGAGCCTTCATATCTCTAGTTCTTTTTCATATCTCTGTGTTACATGTTTTCCTAAAGCAAGTCACTAATGGTGCAATCCTATGCATGTTTAGAGAGAGAAAAGTCCTATAAACCCCAGTCTTCCACAGACAGCATGACAGTTTAGACAAAAATAATTTGCAAGCATGGAATTGTGTCCTAATGCAATGCTTAAAAAGCAGTGCTATGAACCAGCCTAATCTCCTGCCATCCAGATGTTTTGGTCAACAAGTCCCATCAGCCCCAACCAACACAAACAAAGGGTGGTGGGAGCTGTCATTCTAAACATCTGGAGCACACCACTTTGAGGAAGGTTGGTGTTAAGAGTGATCAGGTTACACAACAATGACTTGTACCGTATGGGATTAATCATCAATGAACTCAATAGGATTGACTTCTTACATGCATATAGCATTATGAGTATCAATTCTTCTATGTTTTTGTACAAGTAGGACAATACTAATGCACAACTACTGATTTACAACACCATAGCGTATTATTTGATCATCCTAATTTATGCTATAAAAAGCAAATCCTTGATAACAAAAAAGAAGCCATGGGACACGGCGCAATGTGTAGCAGAGAGGAAAGCTACTTACTGCCAATGTCATCACAGGGACTAACCGACAGGTAGACAGACACGCACCTGTCACAGCTATGCTGATCATGCAGCACAAGTGCCAAAACGGCAACACTGTTAGATCAGGGATAAGAGTGGCCTCAACAGACTAAAATGGAATGAGCACAGGCACCGATGGCTCTGCAGCATCACCTGCAGCATCACCCCTACTTGATGGCCTTCAGATTTGTGGAGCGACTCCCAGAATCTCCCAGCCAAATACCAGGCCGAAGAGCACCAGCTACAACAAATGCAGCCATCTCCACATCTGGCCAGCTCCTACTGTTGGCAAACACACTTTGCCCAAATGGACAAATTGGTTGCTTTTCATCACTCTGTAAGTAAGACTCATAGCGTGTGCATGGCTGTGCATATTTAGTTCTCATCATACAATGTCCAAAGTATCTAAAGTGCACAATCCATCCCAGGAAGCTACCAAATCATGAAGAAAAAGCTTGAGTCCAAATACTCCACTATGGAAATACAAGCTATAAATTCAGAGTAAACGGCAAATTAGGAAAATCCACTCACCATGCATGCATGCAGACAGGGGCTTTTCAGCTCCCCCTTTCCAGCAGCAGCAGCTTCTAATGCTCCCCCCAAATTTCCAACCCCAGACAACATTCTCCAAAGGAGCACCTCATGGAATACAGCTGCCACTATTCCAATGCTCGGTGGCTTCCCTTAGTCCCATCATAGCCACACTTTTGCATATTTTAGGACAAAGTCTGAAATGGGCAACCAGTCATGCCCCATTGTAAGCTCTTTTGCAGTACTTGTGAATTCTAGCCCTTAGGGCTGTTCTCAAGTACCCAGATTCCTCCAGAAGCTACCAGAGAAAGAAGAACTCGCATGCATTTGCAAATACACCCGTTACCTTCAGGAGGTATTGTGCTGTGTAGAATCCAGCCGGCCCACTGCCCACGACACAGATCCGAGGTACGGACTCCGCTGTGGAAAGAAGTCTCTCAATGCCTGCAGGCAGAACTGCAACAAAACAGAAAAGTCCCATAAGCCAAGAGGATCCAGCTTTTGTCCATGAGGCCCAGCGGCAGGCAGTCCTCTGTCCCAAACCAGATTTCTGCAACTGACCTGCCAGCACTCAAGTGAGATGTACATGTACATCTGTCGAAAAATGCACAGGTCGTGTGAATGCCAAAATAGCCTGTCAGAAAACAAACACAAATAAACCAGGAAAGTGGAAGGGAGAAAGACAGGGGGGATAAAAAGACCCCTGGACAACCTGGTGGCACGGGCCCACTGCCCCAGTTTTCAGATGTAGTCTGGACTGTTCACAGAATGAGTCCAACTATATGTCTGATCTGGCTGCAGTTGCTGTGGGATTGTTGTAGCTATTTCATCCAATGTATTATTTCTGTTTGATTTTATATAATTGATTATTATGTATTGTTAATTAGTGTCTTATTTCTTGTATATTTTAATGCTGTGACCATCCAGAGAGTCTCTTTGGCTGGAAGGTATGGAAATATTGACTGATTGCTATAGAGAAGTTTGGAATATAGCTATTAATGGTTAATTAACTTGTGATATTAAAATGAAAAAGGCTAAATAAATAAGAATGATTTTGACAAAATTTGGGGACTATTTATTAAGTATGTGCTAATGAAAAGGAAATAATATGAACCTCCACAAGATTCACTGCAGTTTTGGAAGGGGGGCAGAGCTTTTTGAAAGAGCAAACAATTTAGCACGTATCTAATGATTCTGGTAGTGGGTTGCAAGGTTTTGTTACATTATAGCATGATTTTAATTGTATGTTTTTCTTTTAGTTGTATTGTGTTTTTTGTAAAATTTAGAAAAATAGAAATAAATTAATGAATGCAAAGCAATCACTTTAGCATGCATTGTATGCTATATGACATGGACTGGGGAAGGTCATACATACTTAAGAATATATTACTTGCACATTCCAAACTTAAGTGTCATACTGGATTGCACCAAAGTCCATCTAGTTAGGCATACCCACGTCCACAATAGCACATCCCAAATGAAGTCTAGGGTGAGACAGCTGAGTCACAGATATTTTACCAGGAATGGAACAAATGATGGTTCATACCACTGAGCACCTTGCAACAACCAAAAATCTGACAGAATTGTGTCGTTTTTACTTCTATTCCACCTCCATCCCTACCCAAGGTTATCTCCTGAAAACATGTTCTAGGGGCCTACATATCTAATTTATTCGTTTCCCATCCCTGCCTGATAAAAGAAGTTGTCAGTTGACATTTCCTTTTGTTAGGCAACCTCAGTTTAACTAATTAATGAAACCAGCACTGATCTTCCTGTTAGCAATTACTAGTACAAAGCAATTAGAGGGGACCACAACAAGTACACAATATTCAATTGTTAGTTTAATTTAAAAGAATGCTTTTTGAACAACTGCATTTGAAAGTTCATCCGAATCAGGTTGATATTGGGTACATCCTTGCACGGCTTTGCACTGTGGGTACATTCTTCCAGTACCTACGACCTTGACAACTTGCTTATCTATGCCAGAAAACACATCCATAATCTCATTCCGTTTTGCTACTCGCTGACCCTAGCAATAAGGCCAGTCTAAAATATTTCATTTATGACAGCAATAAAATCAGAGGCCAGGGATCACTGATAATCCTAGTTAGCACATCTGAGTTAATCAGAGATGTGAAGGTCTAGAGTAGAGAGCCCAGCAAGTCCTCGACACTGACAATTTTGATACTGGAAAGTACGACGATAGCCTTATCCCTGCAGTATGCCAAGAACTACTAAAGCCAAACATTTTGCAGATTTGACCCTGATTTTTTCACCAAGTTAGCTGTGTTGCATGACTTGTAGCAGAGCAATATCTGTCTAACCTAGCACCCTGTTTCCAACTGTGGTCAACCATAGATGCATTGAAGAAAAGAAATAAATGCTTCCCCCATCAGTCACTCTCAGTCTTCAGGAATTAAAATGTTAGCGATGCTGGCAGAGAGTGAGGGGAGGCAATTTAGCCTGCAATACAAGTTCTTTACCCAGGAACAAGCCCATTTAGTGCACCTGTATTTACTTCTAAGTTTCAATTTTTCAATTTTCCATTTTCTAATATTTTCTAATATTTCAATCTAATACATAGGATTGCACTATTAATTTAGTTTTTGCCTCCAGCTGTTAGCCTGATGCTTGTTGCTGGCAAGCGTATTCCAGTATGGCAGCGCTAAGGCACAACAAACTCAGTAGAGGCAACACGAGAAGTCCATGGGCTGTTTCAGGATTGTGGGTGGTTTGTTGAGTATGGCAGCAACCTAACCTGGGTGGCTTCATGCAACATGACAAGCCCCATGGCAAATTAACCCTCTGTGGCTTGTCACTGTGGTCCCTGCAATCAGGACCATCCACTGGCAGGCCAAGCCAGGCTCTGACTCTTTGTATCAGTTCTAGTCTTCCAGTTGTTCTGCGTTTTACTTTACTGGGATGCAATCCCATGTTCCACACCCTTGGTGCACACAAGCCTCTGAATTTGGAGGCTTACGTGCATCCTATGCATGGAACAGTGTCATGGCAGTGGTCTCCCTGCACTTTGCTAAACAGCTATTTTCAGCTACCTAAATAACACAACAGGGAGGAGAAGAGAAGGAAGCTGTGGAGCCAGTTGGAATCAACCTAAGTCCTCGGCCCAGCCGCCTGCCCTCCCCACCCTTTTGAAGCTCATCTGCAGCCTCCAAGAAGGAGCAGCTGGTCCGTCTTTCCCATCCTACAGTCTCCAGATGTTGCTGGATGACCATTCCCATGATCCCCAACCATTGGAGATGATGGGAATTATATCCCAACACCACAACTGCCTGGGAATGATGGGAATTGCACTGTAGCATCTAGGGTTGAGTTCCTATATCTAAAGTCTTGCCTATTTGTTCATGATAGCTGGTCTCATTAAGAGTCATCTGTAACCTAAACTTGCTTGGCTTTTTTGAGCCACTCCATTCTTTTTTTTTAACCTTAGATAAATCTGCTTTTGCACCCTTCTGCATACTATGTTTGCACTGTGCTAATTTCAGTGATTTCCTCAGAAATGTACCAAACTGAATGGCCATTGAAATGGGCTGGTGTCTTCTAAGTGGCCCAGGAAGCCAATGGCCCGGAATCAACATGTCTGAAGACAACTAATCAATGCTATATATAAAACCACAGGACCCCTGCCCCTATATTTGTATGCGGAGATGGTCTCTCCATAGAAAATCATACACCAGATTGGGTAACTACATAATTGCCTACAAGAAGCATCACATCCCCCATTTTCTGTCCTTTAGCGTGTTTGAATGGAAATAGAAGCCACCATGGGTGGCTGCAGTGCTGGTCACAATTTTGAAAATTCAAGCCACTTGAAGAGGCAAGCCGTAGCTCATCATTACGTGTGAATTTGGTGAAGGCAGGTTGTTGGGGTGGTTGATAAGCCACTGCAACCCCAGAACAGGCCACTGGGGTCAGGTAGGTTGTCAACTCTCCCAACAAGCAGCAAACCATCCTTGCCAAGTGCACATGTAACAACAGGGTATGGCACCACCCATCCCACCCCTTGAATTTTCAAATGGTAAAATGGCAAGTCCCGCTGCAGAAATGCATGCACAGGGGCTCACTGCTATCCGTAAACCAGGTCAAGATCCTCTTGTCCCTTTCGGCTGTTTACACCTTCCCCCGCCTACGTTTCCACGGACACAACTCCCATCATACCTAATAGAGCTTTATGTGATATTGCCCTTGAAGGGTGTTCAAAAACTACAGTTAGCGCAAAATGCAGCAGCCAGATTGTTTTTAAACTTGAATATAAATAAACAGTCCTGCAAACCATTCTAGCCAAAATGAAACATCTATTGATAATTTTATTTTTAAAAAATAGAGTGCTTTCCTCAGGTATTCAGACATTATCTAAATAGTAGCATATAGTATTATTCGGCCACTTACAGAGAAGTCAATGCACAGGTCAAAACATGTCAGATAAATACAAACCTGCAGCCTTCAGCATGGCTTTGCTCCAAGGCCATGCTATCTGGAAATAGAACTAACCTACTTCATGAGGTACTGATAGTGTGTCAGTCAACCTGAACTTTTAAAAAGAGCTTTATAAGATTGCTAAGTTGTATCTGTGTGGTTAAAGAGGAAAGTGGGGTAAGTATAAACATCCCTAAAGCTTTGGAGTCACACTAGGACCCCAGTTTTATCATACAACTCATTGTTTTGTCTCCCCAGCCGCTTCAATGCATTCTACTAAATGATTGCTTAAAAACTCAGCTGAGGTACAAGGCAGACACCAAACTTGTAAGCCATGGGTCCTCAAACTACGGCCCGTGGGTCCGATCCGGCCCGCCTCCGAGGTTTTGGACTCGCCGCGTCCGCTCCCGCCCACCTCGCCTCGCCTCACGCAAGTGCACGGTGAGGCGACGGCTTCTTTGCATGGAGATCATTTTGGACTCGCTCGGAGAAAATGAACTCCAAGCAAGCAAGCCACTGCCTCACCGCGCACCCCCACCCCCACCCCCTCACCGGCCTGTGCCCACCGTCGGCACTGCCTTGCCGGCCCGCGCCCACCACTAGCAGCTTTCAACTGGCCCCCTGTTGAAAAAGTTTGAGGACCCCTGTTGCAAGCAATCAGTAGGATTCACCCTATGCAATGCACTGCAATGGCTGCTCAGACGGGCAAGCTTTCTGCTGTTCAGTCACTTGGAAACAGTGTATAAACCAGACATATTCCCTTTTATGCTTTCTACGTAATGTCCTCATGTATATGCAGTGTATTCCTACAGCCACACAAAAGAAACACCAATGCACACCCATTCAGTGTCCTTGAGTGACTGGATCTAATCAAGGAAGCTTGGATGCTTTGTTCACCCTAACTCCAAGGATCACACTGTCTCTTGTGTTTCACTGACTCCCCTAAGTTGCACAAGCAACAGATATTTGCACGGCAACCATGCAGGCTGGAGAAGGCAAGTCACATTAAAAGCAAGTCCCATCAAAGGTGCTCATCAAGAGCATCACGCACCACCATGGCAATATGAGGCCTGACCCAGGACTGCAGGGCAGCGACACTTATGGATACAGAGAGATCTCTGTTTATCACTGCACATCCTATTTGGGCAGGACACTGTGAAAATGTACAACTGCGGACACTTGCTAATGTAAACCTGCCCCATGCCTTTCCCGGCCCCGCTGGCTCAGCTTTTTAATGCCAAATTGAAAGTGCAAGGGAAGGGGGGAAACAGGCGCTCCCTTCTTGGGCAGCATGAAACCCCTCAGTGCAAGCTGCACTCCTATACTATCACTGCTCGCTCCTCACCCTGCCCCCAAAGCAGAAAAAGACAAGGGGTCAACAGAGGTTGAAGCCCACGTGGCCTGCAGCAGGATCCAAGGTACACAATGGGACTCTCCCTCTTCCCAATAACCATTATCTTCTTCCCAATCAGCCCAGATTAGGTCTTCCTCTCAATATTTCATTGTTGTTGCTACTGCTGTTAATGACAATAACAAATGCCTGTTGCTACTAATATTATTCTATTTCCCCATAATTTAGTTACTCTTCAAAGAACCAAGCCACCTCCTCCTTAATACAGCCAAAACATTCTCCACGTGCTTTGGAACTTTGACTCCCATTAGCTTCAGCCAGCAAGGCCAATAGTTAGGAAAGCTGGGAGTTGTAGTCCTCCAAACTACCTGGAGGACGCCAGCTTGCATGAGACCGATCTGCTGCATTAGAAAGTAATTCCTTTGCAGAAATATGCAACCCTCAAAGCATGACCTTAAGTTCAATATCAAACTACCCGCCCAAGAGAATGGAGCTCCTTCTCCTCTCCACGGACTCCGTACAACCCCAGGACTGCCAAGCAGAAAGCACCCGCGGAAGCCCGAACTACCCGGCTTTGGTTCAAAGTGCAGGAGACCGGGGAGCGCTTACCCGATAGGTAGCCCCTCGGCAGCAAGAAGCGGAAGGCGGACACCCGCGCCCAGCCGACGATCCCCGCACCGAGGCTCATCCTGAGACCGGCGAGTGACAGCGTCAAACCCCGGCCTCTACCCCGCCACTTTTCTCGGTTTCCTGCCGACAGCGGCGCAACCAATCAGGGGACGCAAAGCCAAGAACGTCGGCGTAGCACTGCCCCGAGCGCCGAAAGATTGGTTTGTGCCCCGCCCCGCGATCAGCCGCAGACCAATCACGCCGGACTCTGGGCGGAGTTATTTCTCAGGGCCCTGCCCAGATCCGGAAATCGGAGAGCGAGTGTCGCGAAGGGAGCACGTGACAGTCAGTGCTCCGCTGTTTTAACCAGGCGTGCATTTGGGCTCTATGGTATATCCGCCAATGAGCTAAAAGAAGGGGAACAGGATTATTTCGTCTGTATTATTTCATGAGTATGTGCGGAAGGCGGTAAATGGCCACTTTAGCCAGGAAACAGACATCGGCGTGATCCGTCCTTACCCAGACAAGAGCTGTATTGCAGTCGGTGCAGCTCGTCTGTTCACGTCCAGCCCGCCGGCCGATCCGTCGCGGTCCATCATCCTCGCCAAGGAAGCCTGGGGCGGCGTACTAGGAACCACAACGCCGGATGAAAGCCTTATTTTCTCATGAAATTTAGTATTTCACTCTCTGTTGCTTTAAACCCTTTACTGCATTTTAAATCTGTGTACAGCTGTTAGGTTTTACTTTAGATACTGAGGTTTTGAACTTTCGACTTTTTATAGCGCACTTCTTGTTGTATATTATTGTTTTGATTGTTGTGAGCTGCCCAGAGAGCTTTTGTTGGATGCTATGGAAATGTAATAAATAAAATGAGAGTGCCTTTCCATCCCAAGCAAGTAAATAAAATGCAGCTGTTCGGAGTACTATTGAGGAT